CATAATTAGGACACGTGTGTTGAGAGTTAGAATAAAAAACGCCTTAACCTTACTTAAAAAAGTGCATTGGGTGGCCGAAAATACAAAACAATCAAAACCACTATGGGGATTGCGCAGGCAGCTTGTTCGTGCCTAATAGAACATATGGGGACATATGGCCTGTGAGTAGGACACATAGGTTGGGATTTAAAGTTGAAAATGCCTTAAACTTAACTAAAAAATTGCATTTCGGGAGGGGAAAACTTGGGAGAAACTTGTCCGGACATGCAACATATGATTACGACTATAATTATAAAATTTTCAAAAGATTATATACATTTGAGTTTTATATAATTTTCTTTTATAATTTGAAATGATAATGTTATTCAATCAATACTAATGGTTAATTTTATTTTACAGATAGTTTTTGGCATGGTAAGGTGAATATTCCTTATTTGTGTGTGGAGGACATTGTTTTTTTATAATCTGTTATTATGTTCTCCTTTTTTTCTTTGTGGATTACTATTGTTTGTACAGATAACTATTGGCATGGTACAAATTAGTTTTGGCATATAACATATTACATATTACATTTGGCGTGGTATAGATTACCATTTGACATGGTATTGTGGATATTTCTTTTTTTGTGTACAGAAGACATAGGTTTTGTATAATCCTCTGTTTTGTATAGAATTATTATCTTAAGTTGGATTATGCTTGGTTTGTATGGAATTTCTATTATATTTCGAATTTGACATTAAAAGTTAAATTTTCTTGGATTGTTATTATTTTGTTTATATACAGGCTACAGGTTGCATATAATAAATATAGGGCGAAATTAATATAAAATAAAACTGAAGAAAGTTTTTGGTGACTAAACATTTAGTAGCCAAAAAGAAGTGAAGTTGTTGACAACGAACCAAATTGGTAGCCAAAAGGAAATGAAGGTTTATTCGCGACAAAATATTTGGAAGCCAAAAGAAATAAAAGATTTTTGGAGATTAAATAATTAGTAGCCGAAAAAAAAGAAGATGAAAATAAATTTTATTTGATAACTAAATATGTAGTAGCCCACAAAATTTGAAGTTTTTGCCTACAAAAAATTTAGTCGACAAAAAAAACCGTCGATATTTTTTACAACTAAACATTTAGTCACCAAAAAGCTACAATCTTTTGCCTACAAAAAAGTTTGGTCACCAAAGGAGTCAATTAGATGTTTGGCTATGAAATTAATTCATCGCTGATAATGGAAAAAAGAATTGGTGACTAAATATTTTAGTCACTAAATGAAACATAGTAGTGACAAAATTTATGTACAACTAAAAATTTTAGTAAAAGTTTAAACTAAATTTATAGAAAAATTTATGGCGACTAAATTATTAGTTGCCGAAGGGTATTCATTGGCTACTAAAATAATTTTAGTCACCAATACTTTTCCCGACAATTAGTCAACAATCAATTGGGCGACTAAATAATTTAGTTGGGAATGACATTCGGTGACTAAAAAATGATTTTTAGCAACCAAAAATTTAGTTGCTAAATGTGCAATTTCTTGTATAAGTAGTTTATTATCCTAATTAATTTCAATAGACTTGATTAACTAATAGTAATTTTAAAATTGAGTGGGAAATTTTTTTCATAATTTGGTAACTACCTGATACGGATATGACATATTTGTCGACATACCTATGCTTCATAGTGTCAAGATAATTCTAAATGATAATTTTTATATTTTTTTGCAAAGTATGTTCTATTTAAAATTTATTATCATAATTTTGCGGTGTTGGTATAAGAGGCGGTATCCTTTTTCCAATCCATTTGAATCCAATTATAATTGAGTTTGTAAGATAAAAGTCATTTAAATTATGATGAATTTCTCACATAAAATTACATAATTATTTAATGCTAATAGAATTTGTAAATATATATACACAAGCATCAACATACACGATTATAACCTCACAATTGATACAATCACCACTAATATTGTTGCAACCATCATCATCGTCACTATCACCACCACCACCACAACTATTACGAAGCCACCATTGTTACTATCACCATCTTCATTTCAACTAGTGAAATTTCATTATCTTTAAATAGTGAAATATAACCTTAATATTTAGGTGAAATTATTAAAAAAGTGAAATTCCTACTAAAGAACTAAAAATTATAAAATTAAAGGCAAAGACGAACTAGCGAGTAAATGGAAAACTTATGAGTTAAAAAGAGATGTTGTCAATGGATTCGTTGGAACAACAAGTGATTGTCACTATATTTTAAATTAGCTAACGATAATTTCATTTTCTTAATTAATTTGTTGTCTAATTAATTCTATAATGTGTGTAATTACCAAAATTTTAATATTATTAAATTAAAACTTGATAGTAATAATTATTTCATTATCTTCAACTAGTGAAATCTTACTCTCTTCAAATAGTGAAATCTAGCCTTAATGTTTGGGTGTAATTTAACTATTAGCAAAGTGAAATTTCTAGTAAATGAGTAGAACGTATAAAATTAAATGCCAAAGACCGAATAACGAGTAAATTAGTATATTTATTGAAGGGTTTAATTGTATCATTTTATTGTTTAGGTAGTAGAGTAATACTTCGTGATAGTTTCAGAGGGAGAGAGATAAAGTGAGACTTTATGCTAGTTTTAGTGGAGAGAAGTAAATTGATACCTCATGACAGCTTTAGGAAGGTCAAATAATACAGGGGGTGTGGGACATTTTCGTATAGTAGAAGAGAGGCCTACAATAATGTTGAATTGCAGAAGAATCATGAGTTCAATAAGAGAAAAGTAGGTTTTCAACCCTTTGAAAATTGCCTTTACAAATTTTTATTTTTCTATCGACAAAATAGAAACAAAGAGACATAAAGAGAAAAGTAGAAAAAAAATAAAATAAAGGCTTGTGAGGGATCTAAATGACTGTCAGTATATCTAAAATCTTATTGCCGTAACAATGGTGATGGACAATCATGAGACAGAGTTTGCATGGTGTTGGATTGTCATGAGATAGAGTTTGTATGGTGATGGACAATTGTTATGGATATTCAATTATTTATTTATGACAATAAAAATAGGATTTTTTTAAGGTCCCTGGTATTAAGATTTTATAGCATAAAGGACACTTAATATTTTCATAATGTCTAAGGTCCCTCAACATCGATACAAAGAAAATTTGATCCAGATAAATTCTGCGAATCGACATTTCTCTGGATTGGACTTCTAAGAGAAATTCAATAGATTTGATCATCTTCAAACAATCTCTCCACGAGCACTTCTCTGCCAAGCTTTTCAACACAGCGTGTATTAAGCTATATAAACCATAAATGATCAAAGAGTTCTAAGAAACTCACAAGAAAAATAGGCGAAAAATAACTTGTTCAATATAAAAACACATAAAAAAAAAACACAACATAAAAGTCCAGAGAAATTTGTAATAATTATAATTTTCTCTGGATTGTAATAACAAGCTTTTAATTTCTCTGGATTTCATTTTCTCTGTACTTCATAGAGAAACTGTGAAGAGAAAATTTGTGTGGCTTTGCGTGGCTTTATCTAGAGAAAATTGTGCAAGAGAAAATTTGTGTCGCATTGTGTGGCTCTATCTAGAGAAAATTGTGAAATGAAGCAATGAGCAATTTATAGTAATCACCCAGTAAGTAATCAACAAACATGGATTTGCATAGAGCACAAAGATGTTAAAAATATCTGTTTCTTTGTCAACATGGGTCCATCACAAACTCCAACCGCAATGCGATCCCTGGCCAATTCCACTGCTTTCTGTAAATACCATCTTAATCAAATACATTTTCAGATATATATATACACATATATATATAGAGAAAGAGATAGAGCACTTTGAGGAAAAGGTGGTGACCGTCGTGTAATCGGTTGAAGGTGCCTCTGATTACAACGGATCCGAATGTATTTGGTGGCAAATTTTTGGAATCTGCTACAGATTCATCCGAAATCACCATTGAAATAGGTAGAAAGAGATTGCAAAATAGAAAAAGGAAGAAAAAAAATGAATGGATTTTGATGATGATGCTGCAATTTTACAACAAAATCAGAAAAAGTAAGATTGATATCGAAGCAACTACTCAATTGAAGTCCCGTTGTTGTGTTGGGAAGATGCTAAGGTACAGTGAACCTGGACCAAAATAAATAATAATCATTAATAAGAGAGTAGTTAATGGAGAAGCTCGACACCGACCTCGACGGCTTCATCAGTCTCGAAGAGTGCAGAGCTGAACGATGCCTTCTAGTTGTATGATCAGGACAAGAACGGAGTGCTCTCGTCTTTGAGATCGACGAGAGAGAAAGAGAGAGAGAGAGAGAGAGAGAGAGAAGAGCAACGGGAGAGAAAGATAAAGAGCGTGAGATATATCAAATTTCTCTGTGATAGATGGGTGTGAGTTTAGGGACCTTAGACATTAAAAAATAATATTGTGGATCTTTTCCATTACTAAAAATGGGAAAGGGACGTTAGACTAATTATATATATATTTTTAAAAAAATTGAAAAACTAATACTATGTTTGATTTAGAATTGCAAAAGTTATTTTTGAATTTTCAATACATTTTTTTTTGTTTTAAGTGAATTTTATTAATATTTTAATTAAAAATTTTAATTTTTAAATTCAGTTAATCTATATATAATTAAAAAGTAAAATATTTATAAAAAAATCTATAAATACAAAAACTAAAAAAATAAATGATTTTTTTATATTGTATATTTGGTGTAATTTTATTTTTTAAATAAAATATATACTTTTAAATGTATATAAATTTTATACTTTTTTTATTAAAAAAACTGAGTCATAAAACTCCAATAAAATAAAAATTATAAACAATAAACAATAATTAAAAATATTAATTTAACAAGCATAACATATTTTTCACATCTACAAAAAATTAGGGAACAAATTTTTTCACAAAATTTTAAGATAATTTAAAATTCCCTCTTAAAATTTAGCACCCTCTAAATTTTTCCCCTAGTCCCTCCTACATGTCTTATGTCCCTATCTCTCCATCTCTCTCTCTCACAACTACTTCCTCTCATTCCTCCTCCCTTACGGACGATTTTGTTGCTCCTATTCCACCGTTGTACAGCCTGAAATCCAAAGTCGGCACCCTCTCTTAGCAGGTAAGTTGATTTTTCTCTCTCTCTCTAGATCTTATTCTCTACCCTAATTTCTCACAAATCGACTCCCTCTCTTAGCAATCTCTACCTCACACACTTTCTCACTGTCGTACCACGCCACATTTGGCACCGTCTCTCTGAATACAACGGAACCCCCACAGGTTTTTTTGTGTCGATCTCGGTCTCTCTCTATCGATCTCAGCCGCCACAAATCATAGGTCTCTGTCGATCTCTGTCCCTCTCTGTCGATCTCGGCCACAAATCACAGGTTTCTCTCTATTGGTCTTTCTCTCCCTCTGTCGATCTCGGCCACAAATCACAGGTTTTTCTCTATTTCTCTCTAGGTGTTCATCGCTCTCTGTCGATTTTCAGTAATTTATAAGGAAATTGTGATTTTTGCTTTTGATTTAATTTGAAATTGGCACTTCAAACAGATGAATAAGGGCTTCAAACTTATGTGTACTCACTAATCACTATGCTTGTGGACTTGTATAAGATCTTTTCACAAAACAGAACAAACTAAAAAGACTAAAATGCTTTGTTTAAGAAAATTACTCCTTTTAATGTTATCTTGTAAACTTTTTTTAGAGCTTTATTTGGTATGGACCGGACAATTATTTGCTATGTTTGATGAGGCAGTTTGTAATGGTGGTTTCTAGGTTTGGTTCTATGTATCCATTGTTGAACTTTTTGAAGGCATACATAATGTTGTAATTATTGTAGTTATCGGTACTTCTTCTTCTTGTTATTGTTGTAGTTTTTTTTTTTTTTTTTTTTTTTTTTTTTTTTTTTTTTTTTGAGATTCATATGTTTGTGGAATTGCAGGGAGTGGCTGATCGAGTCTGTCTTCTCTTGCCTACTAGTGAGGGTAGTTGGGTTACTGTTGCAAGGGCATTGAGGTGTTTTACTCTGATTATTTTATAGTTCGTACCTCTTGATGACTTTTTCATTCCTTGCACCTTAATATTATACATTTCTACGCCATGCTACTTTTTTGGGTTTAAACTTCTTTCACAAAGTGTTCAAATGACCGCTGAAATTTGAATTTCATTCAATGTATGTGTTCTATCCTCCCAAAACTACTTTGTTGTTAGCCTAACAACTTTGCCTTTGCAGTGGACCATGTTATTGTATCTTGGGTTTGTCTTTTCTTGGATTTCAGAGGTGCATAATCTTCTTATTCATACCCTCCATATTAGTTTACATAGGTCATTTGTCCTTTAATTTCCTTTTTCCAGTTGTAATTTATGTGATTATGTGATTTTGAAATTCATTTAAGCGTTGATAGAATTGTTTCTGTGTTATTTTAATGTTTTGTGGCTGAATCTATGTTGCCCCAGTTGCTCTCTATAGGCTTGGTAGGTAAAGGAAAATTTTGCTTGTTTATGTGCTGAGGCAATTTATTGCCTTTTGTAAATATTTGTGTTGATAAGAAGAGTTTAAATTTGGCTCAGTTGATTGATGTTGGACAATCTTCACTGTACTTAAATAAATTAATTATGTTTGGGTACTAAACAACAAACAGAATACAAAAGAAAAATAGGAAATGAGAGAGAATGTTTGATTACAAAAATCAAACCAATAAATAAAAACAGATTTTTATTTTGTTACAAAAACAAAATCAAAATTTGATTTAAATAAATAATAATAAAACAGAAAAAGAATTAACTTATATGATTAATTTCTTATACAATATTCTGATCAAGTCCAGTGTTAGACACTGTGTCCTTAAGATAGATTCATCCTCTCTACAGTGCTTTCAGACAGTGGACGTCTATCTCCCAGGATAAAATGATCAATAGCAAACAATAACAGCATTACAAATTGTTTGCCCAACGAACACACTAAGTGTTTACACTCTTTCTCACAAAAATTAAATGTAGCAAAATGTAGAGAATTTTAGTAGAGGAGAAATACGAAAATTGTTATAAAAAACAAAATGAGGGACTGCCTATTTATATAGGTGAAGTGGTGGCTTGGTGGCTGCTCAATTTGAATCCAACAGGTAGCAATGGTACATGCCATTAGAAAAGTTAACAGATACAAAATCTGTAGGCACTGTTTGGTTTGAATTTCAAACAATTCAAAAACCTGTTATGGGTGGATTTGAATTTGAACAAATTCCATTTGGATAGATCCGAAACTGTGCGAAATTTCTGAAGAGGTGTAAACCAAAAATTTGAATTTTATTTTCAATCAAAATTTGAAATAAAAATGGACAGATTTTATTTATAAATAAATAAAATAAAATTCAAATGTTTTTGGCCCAAAAAGATTAGTATTGGGTCGGACAAGCCCAACCCAACCTCACACCACGAACCCGCGCCCAAGCCCAGGCCCAGCCCGCCTGAATGGCTGCGGTGCGCGCGCGTGTGGTGATTTTTGGGTTCAATGGGTCTAGCACATTTTGCCCATAACCTCCCTCTGTACAAAACTTGGGTACCCCTTGGGGCACACCCCAAGTTCCAATCACATGCTTTATAAACCCACTAAAAACTTCCCACCAAATCAATGTGGGACAAGCCATTTTTCAAACCTTTAGGGATTTTCCACCAAAACTCCATTTCCATGGAGCACACTTTGGCTTCAATTTCCCATTCACTTGATAATGGTTTTGAGCAACCAAATATACCACGTGAATCATAACACGGCATAGAATGCGTTACCACTTTGACCCGCGAAAATCGACACATGGATCCCACCTAAAAATTAGACCAAAGTTTAATAAAAATTTTGTTTTTTCCCAGAATTTTCAAAACCATTCTAACAATTGAATCATGGACTACTGAAACAATTTGTCAAGACTAAAATGGCTATACTATTTGAAACTAATTAATGGATATAATAGATGGTCATTATTACGTACATGGTTCCTTTGTCACGTCTTATGTTTGCTAGGTGTATACTATGTTTGCTAGGATGTGTGATCCTTTTATTTGGCTTTAGTTTTTGGAAATTATTTTCTCTCTTGTTTTTATTTTTATTTTTTTTTCATTGATGCTTGTGACTCGCAATAGTAACTTGGGTTATTTGCTCTCAAGGAACAAAACACACCGAGTCATTCAATGTCTCTCAACTACCAAATCTTAAAATCTATTTTAAATTTGTTGTAATCAGTGTCTTTATATTGCCGGAACTTATGTTTAGAAACAAATGTTTCTTTGAGTGCTAAAGTTCATGCATAGTTGACGGAATTAAACTTAAAACATAGGAAACCCAATTCAAATAGTTGAAATGATGATGAATCAATTAGTGCAAAGAAGACAATTGAAATAGTTGAAATGATGATGATTTTCAATTTGTGTAAAGAGATATTCCTTCCCCACACGCTTTTACTGATCCAAAGAAGACTTGAGCATCTGGGAAGTGTTAAAACAATCCATGGACCACTCTCTAATCTCAGAACTGGAATCACTGGTGATTACGAACATTTCTTTTCCCAGGGTCACATGAAAAAAAAATGTAAAAGCCTTCATATTACTAAATTTTTTTCTTGTATTGTCTTTAAGGTTGAAATTTTTCAAGTTTGTAAAATATACAAATCAGGGATGTCTCTCCTTGTTATTTACATAGAAAATGAGTTTGTCTCTACTGGCTTTGACAAAGAGTTTGCAAAAGTTGCACAAGGTTTGATTGCTTGCATGTGAGAGTTTTTTTGTTGAGGGTTGAGTGATCTTAGCCCTATATTTCTTTGCTTGAGTGCCTGTTTTAGGCTTTTAGGGCACTTGATCTCTTTCCTATGAGATTTTTCTTCCCTAGCCTTGTGTGTGGGTTGAGTGATGTAAGCCCTATATATTTTGTGTAATGTGTTTTGTGAATAGTAAGCTCTTTTGATATCTTAATTTTTATTTCCCCTATCTGTGTGCTATGCAGGCTATGCTGGTATATTAATAGGGATGTTAAGGGTTGAGTGTTGTGAGTTTCATATGTTAGCTTCTTTAGTTAGTAGTTACTATTGAGGGTTGAGTGATGTGAGGTCTTCATATGTGGGTTGAGTTGTGGTGAGCCTTTACCTTTCTAATTGTTTATTATGCAGCAGGTTGTTAAGCTGGTACATATGTAAGGGATTTTTATTGCTGAGGGTTGAGTGATCTTAGTCCTATTTTTCTTGGTTTGAGTGTTTGTTGTTGAGGGGGTGACCATTGGTTCAATGGTAAAACCTTGGCCTAATAAGCTTGAGGTTATGGATTCGAGTCTCGGGACAATCACTTTGTATACTATGGCAAAGGTTAGGTGTGTACCAAATCTTTCCCCTCCCAAACACATTAGGGAGTGCTATTTGGCCATTGTTTTTTTTGTTTTTTCTTCTAGTGTTTGTTGTAGGCTTTTGGGGCAGCTTAATTTCTTTCCTATGAGAGTTCTTGCTTCCCTAGCCTTGTGTGTGGGTTGAGTGATGTAAGCCCTATATATATTGAGTTGTGTGTTTGGTTGCTTTCTTGTTCTCTCTCAGGCTGGTATTTGTTGTGTTCTGTCTTTGCCTCAGGTTTTATTGATTATTTTGGGTGATTAAGGTTTGTTTGCATTAGATTCTCTTGCTGCCATTGGTGGGTTGCTTTTGCTGTTTGTTGCTTTTTCTGCTTTTGGCTGTTGCTTGTTGCTACTGTCAGAGATGTTTTGATGTCCTACCCTTGTGGGTTGTGTAAGGGACTTATTATTCTTACCTTTTTGGTGATTTCTTTGCTTACCCATTGCTGGCTATGCATGGGGTTATCCTTCTTTGTTTTGTCCTGTTATCCCCCAATATGTGGTTCCTTAACAAGAGGATGGAGTGTTCTTCCTTAGTTAGAGTAGGTGTATTTCTACTTGGTTCCTTGCTTTTGGCAATTGGATTTTAAATGGCTTTTTCAGAATTTCCCTTTTAGGCTTCCATTTGGGTAAGCTCCTTGTCTTTGTCTTAGCTTTGTAGCTGCTGTTTTTTTGCTTTTCCATTGTGGGTTGTGCATGGGTTATCCTCTTTTCCAGTAGCTTGAGTTCTAGTGCCTGCTTTTGTGTTTTAATCTGTCTAAGCCAGGTCTCCATCTAGGTGCTGGTGGCTGTTGCTGCTATTCTTCCCAAACAAGTTAATGTGGCTGTTGTTTGGTTGCATATTGGCCTAGAGCTAGAGTGCTTCTTGTTGTTAGTGTTGATTTTGTATTGTTGTTTTATTTGTTGGTCTTTTTTTTTTGTTTTTTAGCGTTACCTTCTTTGGTTGCTTTGTTCTAGGGCTTGGGGGATATTCCCCTTGTAATCCTGTATATTTTGTTGTTTTATTTTATAACTTACCCAAAAAAAAAGTTTGATTGCTTGGAAGGTCTTTTCATGTTCTATCATGAGTTTCCCATCTTACTAATTTTCACATAAAACTTTCTTTTTGGAGGAAAATACTACTAGTCGGCCAATGCTTCAAACGTTATTCAGCTACAATGAAAGATACTTTATCAGCTTTTGAAGAACTCTTGACCTTGAATGAGTTTTGTTTTTTTTCTAATTTAAATTTTTTACTAAATATATAATTTATTACACGTCTTCAACTTTCTTGCATTAACTTATGTTCAATAATTTAGTTACTTTACACATTAACGTTTCTATTATGTTTGACAAATTAATACTAACAAATATTATAAAATGGCAAATTTTAAACACAAAATTCAATTTTTTGTGCATTTGTGCAACAGAAATAATGAGGCCTTTCAAGGTAACCAAGAGTCTGCAACGGATGTGAATGTATGTGATGGAACTTTGTGAACTACTTAAAAGGAATATGTATACATTTTTATCAGATTTTGTTTTGCAAAAACCATTGGTGGTGGATATGCCAAGTGACTAGTGAGGATAGAAAGTCCCTAGTTGGGGGAGCTATAAAGATTGAAAAGATGGAAGTGACAGGTATTAGTATATCATTGTGAGATTTTATGGGAAATGGAATCAAGCAGTGAGAATTGAAAATGCTTCTGTTGTGGACCACATGAGCAGTTGGGGCATAAAAAGTTGTCTTTTGTCAAAAACTTGAGTTTGCTGCATAGGTTGAGGGATATTTACTTTCAACCAAACTAATTTGTTCTAATGAAGAAAATTTCTTATATATTGGAAATATATCATTGATGAGCTGATATTGAAGACTGGATGGGGAGTTTTTAGTTTGCTTGTATTCAAGTCAAAATGCTAGGAAATGAAGCCTGCCATCTATGATCATGACCAGAAGATGGTTTGATAGTTTGGACAGAGAAAGTTCCAATTGAGCTTGTTTCTTGTACTCATCCTGATTCTGTTTACACTTCGTTATGAAAATCATCTTTATACATAAAAAGTGTTTCTTCAATTCTATAAGCCTCTTTTTAAATCATTACTTTAATAAAAATGATTATTAGTTATAATAAAAATTCTCATTTAGAATTATCTATAAGCCTCTTTGCAAAAAAATATAAAAATTCTCATTTAGAATTATCTTGAGACTATCAAATATGGGTATGTTGACAAAGATGTCATACCCATACCAGGTAGTTATC